GAGTTTTGTATTTCATTTATATTTTTAAATACATCGAAATTGAAATTTTAACCATACTGAATGGGCATTTTTATTAGTTGGGTTCAGGGTAGTATCTAGTCGAGCACTCTCGACTAGAGTTTTCTTACTTGTCTGAAAGTTTTATTAACATAGTTTACAAGAAAAGTTATTAACCAATTAAGTCTCACACTGCTGTGTACTGCGTGCATATGTCTGTACTTTTATTTATTTTTCAGGCCTTTCTCAAGGGCGAAACACAGATAATGGCTGATGAAGCCTTTCAAAACGCTGTACAAAGTTATCACGATGTATTTTTAAAATCTGAACGAGTTTTAAAAATGGTTCAGTCTGGAGCATGCTCGCAGCACGATTTCCGGGAAGTTTTTCGCAATAATATAGAAAAACGTGTGAGGTAAACGAGATGAGAGTCCCTTAATATTAATAATATTGCTATTGACATTTGGAAATCGATTATTTATATCTAGATCCCTACCAGAAATTGATGGATTGAGTAAGGAAACGGTGTTGACTTCTTGGATGGCAAAGTTTGACATCATTCTTAAGGGTAGTGGAGAAGAGGATACCAAACGTCCTTCGCGCATGCAACAATCATTAAATAGTGAGCTGATTTTATCCAAAGAGCAGCTCTATGATATGTTTCAACAGATTTTATCTGTCAAAAAATTCGAGCATCAAATTCTGTTTAATGCCCTAATGGTAAGATAATTATTGATATATTTATTAAAAATATTGAGGATATACATCCAAAATTAGTTATTATATATCAAAAAATATTTTATTTCACTAAATCACTTGAAGTATTCGAATTTCAACATAAACTGACTTTTTAAAAATCGTTCAAGAGAGTGTAAAAGAGTTTACTTTCCCGTGAAATGGCCGTGTCGAAGTCCTTCCTCTGTTTGGGATATTTATAAAAGTAAAAGTATATCTTGCAAACTTTTGGAGAGAGCTCTCGACCGCTGCTCTATAAGTCCAACCACAAACAGGATAAGAGTATTTCGAGTCTCCTCACGAAATGTGAGAGTCTGTCTTCCAGAGAATAGATCTAGTCTTTGAGTGTGACGAATCAGAAGCATGAATATTTAATAATGATTTGTGGAGGCGTGGCAATTTTCATATAATATATATATTCTTGATCAGGGCTATGAGCCCGTTCCGTCCGTATGTGTGAACGGGCAGGTTGCATATCAAGTGTGCTCCAAATTATTGGTCTTTCAAAATTCAGTTATAAAATTATGTTTTCTAAAAAAAGCCTGATTCTCCAAATCTTACAATTACATTTATGTGTATATATTTTAATCTATTTTATATTAGCTTGATTCTGCTGATGAACAGGCTGCGGCTATTAGACGAGAATTGGATGGACGTATGCAGCGTGTTGGAGAAATGGAGAGGAATCGAAAGCTGATGCCAAAGTTCGTACTTAAGGAAATGGAGTCTTTATACATTGAGGAACTAAAATCATCTATTAATCTATTGATGGCTAATCTGGAATCTCTTCCCGTATCAAAAGGAAATATGGACAGTAAATATGGTCTTCAAAAATTGAAACGTTATAACCACAGGTAAATCTGTCATCTCATTATAAAAGATTTGTTTAATCCCTCTTTTTTCTATTAACTCTCTCGCTGTCTTTCTTTCTATCTCTTGTGTCTCTGTTTCTCTCTCTCTCTCTCTCTCTCTCTTTGCCTCTTAAATATTGCAGCACACCATCATTTTTGTAAGTTACCTTACAGGTGTATTGATAATTATATTTATATGGAAGATCAATTTTATTCATGAAAATAGAAAAATGATTTTGCGGTCTCATGGATCCCTATCGAAGCTAGAAGGTGACTCAGAAGATGGTTCTACACAGTTAACCAAATTGGATGTTGTTCTCACATTTCAATTGGAAGTCATTGTAATGGAAGTGAAAGGCCTAAAGTCTTTAGCGCCAAATCGGATTGTCTACTGTACAATGGAGGTGGAAAATGGGGAAAAACTGCAAACTGATCAAGCCGAGGCCTCGAAACCAATGTAAGTGGCTATACGTGTTTTATCTTAATGTTAATTGAAAATAATTTAAATTGGTTGACAAATTGTTTACAGGTGGGATACTCAGGGCGATTTCACTACTACTCATCCATTGCCTGTCGTAAAAGTGAAGCTGTATACAGAAAACCCTGGAATGCTCGCACTAGAGGATAAGGAGTTAGGAAAGGTCATCATAAAGCCTACACCCCTTTCTTCCAAAGTAATTAAAGAAATTTTGTTGTCCAAATGTATAATTTTTAAACTGTTGTCTTCTAATCAAGTCACCTGAATGGCATCGTATGATCGTGCCCAAAAACTTACCCGACCAGGATGTACGGATAAAGATAGCATGCAGGCTTGACAAACCGTTAAATATGAAACACTGTGGGTATGTAAATAGAGGGATATATCACATCCATTCCATTTAAATAATGTTACACATTTTCTTAGACATCTGTTTGCAATTGGAAAATCGGTGTGGAAAAAGTGGAAACGCCGATATTTTGTTTTAGTTCAGGTGTCTCAATATACATTCGCAATGTGTAGCTATAAGGAAAAGAAATCGGAACCGTCCGAAATGATGCAGCTAGATGGATATACAGTTGATTACATCGAAGCAGCCAGTGGTATGTCTATATTCACATTGGTTACAGATGATACCTTAATTGTTTAATTACTTTTCTTTTCGATGGATGATAGTCATGAAACTTTTAGATCTTGATTCTAATATTGAAATCAGTGCACTTGCCAAAGCACAAGTCAAGTATTTGAAATACGCCGTTTACAAATATATATGTGAGAGTGGATATTGTGGTGGGGGGTAAAATATTTTAAAAATCGAAATTCTATAAAATACATATAAGTCTACATATACAATTTGGAGACCCTAGCTTTAAAGGTGTAGGAGATATAATTAAATAACTTATTTTCGATAAGGATTTTAATCGATAAATAAATAAATAAATAAATAAATAAAAATAAAATAAAATATCCTAGATATCCGGCTATATATACGTACATTTAAAAACAATTTCAAGTCTCTAGCTCTTATAACTTCGAAGATCGGCGCGTTCAAATATACGGATAGACAGACAGACGGTCGGACGGATCAGCTCGTCGCCCTGATCAAGAATATATATGTATACTTTAACGGGTCTGCGATGATTCCTTCTGCCTGTTACATACTTTTAAGATAACAATTTTACCCGGATTTACCATTTTCAATGTATTCTGGGTATAATAAATATTGTTAAGCAGTTCATTTTCGCTAATTATATAAATTATTTTTTTCATAGCAAATCTGATGTTCGGAATCGATTTGAATGGTGGCCGATTTTTCTTTAATGCGGTGCGAGAAGGCGACAGCATTGCTTTTGCATGTGACGATGAAAACGAATGCAGCCTCTGGGTTATGGCTATGTATAGAGCAACTGGTCAATCTCACAAACCCACTCCACCGATAACTCAGGACAAAAACTCGGCAATGTCTAAGATTCAAGGGGGTAAGTTAAGTTAATAAATAATTTAGCTGCAGTGATTTAAATAGTACATTCAAAGTAGTCAATATTTAGTGGTTGATGCTTGAATTTCTTATGCTTAAATTATGCAATATATTTTTGACATAGATGCGGATAAAGCACGGAAGCATGGAATGGAGGATTATATAAGTGCGGATCCATGTACATTTGATCATGCAAGCTTATTTAAAATATTACAAAATCTAACACTTGAATACCGGTTAAGTGATCCTTATGCGTCTTTGGTAAGTTGTTTGAAGACTGTTTCTAAATTGATTTGATGTATTGTATTTTTTTCGGAATGGTTTAGGGATGGTTTAGTCCAGGACAGGTCTTTGTTTTGGACGAATACTGCGCTCGATATGGTGTTCGAGGCTGCTATCGACATTTGTGCTATCTTTCAGATCTATTGGATCGTGCTGAAAATCAGCACATGATTGATCCCACATTGATCCATTATTCTTTTGCATTCTGCGCAAGCCATGTGCACGGCAATAGGTAACTTATTATCTTTTGTACAAGCTTAATTAATTAGACCAAACTATTATTCTTATTATTATAGGCCGGATGGTGTGGGCAGTATAACACATGAGGAAAAAGAGAAGTTTTCGGAAATAAAGGAACGTTTACGTCAGCTACTCGAGTATCAAATAACAAATTTCAGATATTGTTTTCCATTCGGTCGGCCAGAAGGGTCATTGAAAGCAACGCTATCGTTACTCGAAAGAGTTCTAATGAAGGATATCGTTACCCCAGTACCCCCCGAAGAAGTCCGACAAATGATTAAAAAAAGCTTGGAGACTGCTGCACTTATTAACTACACAAGGCTATCAGCTGAAGCTAAGATCGAAGGTAACTAACCACTTGCATTTAATTCAGTTGTTATCAAATATAAAATTGATACTCAATTGCCCACAGAGGATTTACGTGGTGAAGTGATTGTACCACCACCTAAAAAACTTGAGGACTTGATACATTTGTCCGAGCTTTGCGTTGATCTACTACAGCAGAATGAGGAGCATTATGGCGAAGTAAGTTGTCGTTGTCAAGAAAATAGCTACATACATAAATACATACATACATATGTATGTGTGTATCATGCATTCATTCATAGTTGCATACATATCGGTATGCATGTTACGTGTAAGTTTCACAAAGATATACCGTTAAATGTAAGTATTATGCAAGATCTTATTATAACTATTCTTACACTGTGCTGCGCCTAGACATAAGCTACGAATAAACTAATTTCTTTTAGGTGTGTTGTTTAAATGTCTGTAGGCAAATCTTATATATGCCTGCTACCTGTGCTACGCTATGAGCGAAAGTATTTGCAGTACCACTCTTTATGCATTATGTGCTTTTTTGGTCTATCAATTTATATATAAAATCTTCACAATATACTAAATTTATTAACTAACGTTAATTTTATAGTTTGAATTTCTTTAAACTTTACCGCATATATATATAGGACTGTTCCCTCGTCTCTATGTGTGTATATGTATATGTATATTTATTTGTATATGTTGTGTGTTTAAGCCACATCTCAAAAGTCGAGCACCCTCCGATTATAATACGTACACTTACCTCTATTTTGCAACCAGATTGGATCTATTTATGTGTATACGCAATAATTTTCTTGGCATAAGTTTTGTATAATACATGGGGCTTTCATAGATAAATTTCGTATAAACTTGAATTGCAATTCCGTACAATAATTAGCTAACTAGTTTATTCTTTTTGACTATACATTTCTTCAATCCGTGTTAAGAGCGGCTTAGATCAAGTTTTGGGTTAAACATAATATATATAATCTATATATTATATATCTAACGATATTAACCAATTTATATTATGGTATAGAGAARAGTACAAACAGAAGAGGAAAATTTAGATATAAGTTCGACTTATTGATTTTTCACTGATCATTATTATGGTAATATAAATACGGTCTAGTTTGAACTAAATAACATATATATCTGTCAAACTCAAGGTCGTACTCTGTCGTAAAAGAACGGCGAACACGTAATAAACAAATTATTATTAGTGTTCACATATTTAATTATCGCTGCATTTAAATAATATCTCTGTTGCTGAACGTAATCAAGAAGTTCTTGATCTTGCTTAACACATTCTTAGCTCCTAAGTACATATATAAATTGTTTTTGGTACGACATCTGTATTTGTATACTCGGTTTACACAATTTAGCTGCGAAAACCAGACAACAAGAAGGATAAAGTTAAGACAATAAAGGAAGGCGGTGCAGATGGGACTGGACCCCCCCATGATGCTGGTTCCACTGTCGCCGGTGCTTCATCTAGTCAGGGAAACAATAGCATGGATCAAGCCTCTTTGGATGTTGCTACAGCTGCCGCTAACACTGACGGACCGCCCCCATTTCGCTACTGTATGCCCACACATGCGGTGTACACATCGCCAGTACCAACGGCATGTACTCCTCTCTCTCTCTCTCTCTGTCTTTTTTTTTACACATATACAAAGCAAGCTTTCATTTAGAAAATAGACATACAACATAATATATGAGCATAGATAACACGTATTTCTTTTAGTTTTATAATATAATAATACATATATGTATGAATGTGTTATACACACATTATATTTATACAAGAAATCTGAATACTTACACACATTTACATACATTCATTTATATATTTATAAAAACACGTATATCTATGGGAAGCACTCTAAAATTTTAACCCATTTTTACAGTCAGTTCTTGTATTCCCTTTTGTTTCAATTTTAAGTCCAAGAGCTATTTATACAAAAATAAACATAAAAAATAACTTCTAATATAAAAAAGTAAAATAATGCCTTTTACAAAATACATCATATGAAAATATTTAATTGGAAAGAAGTAAAACCTTTGCACTCGGCGCAATACTCATTCACGATATAAATAGTATCTTTTCTGAGAGACCAAAATAATGTTTCCCAATTTCGTGTGATAGTAGGGGGCTGGTAGAGTTTCCTCACGACTATATAGCACTGGAACGAAATATGTAGCAATTAGCTCGTTCAGTTCGTGAATTTGTATAACTTCTATTTCCAATATTAACATTTAAATTAAAAATCCTGGCAATCATAAAATAAGTTGTAATTTATGCTGTATGCATATAGATTATTATATTTTTGAAAATCTAGTGTCGTAAGCGTAATTTGAACAAAAGAAAAAACAACAGTGGTATGTACATATATTGGGAGAGAGAAGCAGAAATTGTTGCGTGCGTCAAATGTATATACACCCAAATAAATGTATCTTACATTTTTGCACTGCTTTTTATTTGTAAATCATAATCCTTGATCCTAATTTTGATAACATCTGAAATGATTTGCTATTTACCATCAGAAATGATTTGACTTCTCAACGTAGCGATTCCAATGTCATCAGTTTAGTATTCACGTATATCTTCCTTCTCTTTTGTAGTCTATCCATCTATCTCTCTCTCTTTCTCCCTATCGATCTACCTTGTAGTACCTCTACTCTTCTTTCCCTTTCTCTGAAGCTTCAGGTTTCAATTTGAATTCAAAATAAGTGGAAAAAGGGGATTTTACTTATTCTGATGCATTTATGCTTAACT